TTCCTCCCACACCCTTTTTCTTTTTCTAACGTCTTCTCCAAATGCGTCCTTCCACCCTCAGGCGACAGAGGAAAATCAGAAAACCCTTTACTACACAAAGGAGGAAATAAAAAAACAGGCCGTTGATGAGAATAAGAGTTTCGGCTCCTGTGTTTCATTCAAACATCAGATCTTCACATTTAAAAAGGGGCGAGTCGGAGAAAGGAAGTCGTCTTTGTCGAAGGTGAGTTAATTCACTGAGGCGACACTTGAAAGCCGAGGATGTGAGGAGCAGGTGAGGCTGGAGGAGGTGAAGGAGGAAGAGGAGGAGTTCTCTCCTGTCGCTGCAGGATGAGAGAAAGGAGCTCTGGAGAACAGAGCAGTTCAACGAGCTCCTTTCACTTTACTTTAATAAAACATCTGTACACGGGATCACGTGTGTGAATCACCATGGTGATAGAGAGAGAGAGAGGGAGAGAGAGAGACAACAGGAGGAAGAAGAGGAGACAGATGTTATCGGAGAATAACTGATGACCTGCAGAGAGTCATGAAACAACATGATGCTGATTAATGGAGTTGTTCTGTGACGGAACATATGGGAAAATTAACACTGATGGGAAAGTGCATTAATGATTTACTAAATATATAGAGATGGAGCTATAGAGAAATAGAGATAGAGATATAAGGAAATGGAGATAGAGATAAAGATGAATAGAGATGGAGATATAAAGAAATAGGCATAGATATATAGAGATAGAAATATAGAGAAATTGAGATATATAAAATTAGATAGATATAGAGAATGTGAAATAAGGATATAGATACAGAGATACAGAGATAGATGGATAAAGATGCAAGTAGGTAAGAAACAACTTGATAAATAAAACGTTTTATAAATTAAAACGTTTTATCCTTAAAACTTTATATGAATAAAAAAGATTTTATAGACAGAAATATAACAAACAAATTCCAATAAACCACAGCTACGGAGTCACAGTTAACAGATACACCACGTGGACAACATCACAGACACACACACGTACCTCTGCATGGCACGACACACACACACAGAGCACACACCACAGACACGTAACAGCATGTGTTGGGCGGTGTCACTTACAGGCACGTAAAGTGGTTGCGCAATCATGAACAGAGACAGAGGAAAGTGGGTAGGCCCTCTGAAGGGTGTCCATGTTACTATGTACACTGCCTGACATGCAAGAGCAGTCTTGCTCTGAACGGCCGCAATCAAAACAACATGCCAGTTTCATTCGTTTGTAGACGGACATCTTGGCTACAGTCATGTTTTGGGATGAGAGGAGAGGAAAATCAGCAGGTTAATGGCAAGAGGAGAAATTATTCATCCAGGGGAAGTCGGAAGGTAACTTCATCAGAAAGTGCAAGCCTTAGCCACCCGCTCCCACAGACTTGAGCCCCAAAGTTCATCAACACAGCGCAGAAATGTATTCAAAATCTAATTTCATTCAGGAAATCGTCAAATTACTTTCTTTTTTAGACTTCGACAATCCATTGATAAAATTTGGGACATCTAATTAATGTAATAATTTGGTTTATGGCTCGATGTAAAATCATTTTTCATTCACTTTGACTTGTTCTCTAGGGGTCAAGCTGTGTGCTAAGGCTGTAACAGGTCAAAAGGCAAAACTATAACAGTGGGAAAGAGGGGTGAGGAAAAGGGGGAGAGGGAGGGAGGCATTCGGGGGAGAGAGGCATGAGCAATGTCTTCAGCAGCAAACCTCATACAATGTTTCATACATTTGTACATCCTCTATCCAAATGGGCTGAACGAGTGGATCACGTACCTGTATCCCATCATGCAGCTGTAGCGGCTCTGTCCAAGGCATCGCACTATACAACTGGCTATAGACTTTGCCAATTCATGCTCGAGTCAGACCTGCTTCTTCACTGCTCTACTCCCCAAGGGAAGCTTCACTCTAATGTGCATGTGTGCAGAAATAGTGTAACTACACAAAATCATTTTCATGTCGTATATTCAGAAATGATCATTTTAAAAGAGCCAATGTGACTTTTGAAAGAAGAGGACATAGCACATTCCTCCTTTTGCTGCTCCTCGGTAGCTTATGTTAGAAGCAAATTATAGATTGGCATTCTCTTTATTAATAAGTCAGGTTTATGTGTTAATGTTACCAATAGTATGTGTTGTTGTCATGTTTTTGTGCTTTTGCATTAATAATGACAACGACAATATAATCATTTTCAATTCAATTTCATTTTCTCAACATACTTTCAATTTATGATGTCAAACAATCGGTGTATTGTTGCTGGGAGGTGTAAATTAAGTTGTGTACGTAACATGGATGTTCTTTGTTCTATATTAGAGTTATTATCTTTAAGTATAGAAGTTGTTGCAGTTGCCTATAGAAAGGGTAATCTGGCATCAGGAGTGAAGAGGGGTACTGTGTTTGTAAGACCCCAGTTGGATGGCTCCAATAAACAGAGCCATTCTCTAGCACACTACAATATGTTGTTATATTGTCTTCACACAATAAAGTTAAACTGTGGACTAATAGTCTCTCGTGACATTTTAAAATTCGGATTTCACCAAATCTAGGAAGTGCTATATTGTTTGTTTGCCATATCCCACATGTAATATCCTAAACACATTGGATACTCAGTGGTGGCCAAGACATTCTAGTATTTACTGAGTATCCATCAGTGGGTCACATACTTTTTTTTCCTACATCAATACAATAATAAACGTTGTAAAAAAGTATTTCATTGATCTTTCTTTTTAGTCTTTACAAAACTGCCAATCCAGAGATTAGGTGCTCTTGTTCAGGTGAGATTGGATGTGCAGTCTGCAGCACTATACCACTGTAGAAACCCTTAACTACCGGTTAGCCTGCAGCCACAATACTGTAAAGCATCTATTTTCTCTGTGTGTGTGTGTGTGTGTGTGTTGTGTGAAACCCTAAACCCTGAGGGGAGCAGGAGTGAAAGTTCCCAGAGCAGCGTCTCTAGATTGCCTTGACTCTGGGCAGAAACAGTCCCTGGTCCCCATTCTCTCATTGCCAAGGTGAGAGCAGACAGCGGACTAATAATGTCTGGCACCTTTACAGAGACACTCTCAGCATCTTTGATTCCGAGTCACATCGGGAAATAAGGTCCTGAATTAAGTGATATACGTTTCAGCTTCTGGCCAAGAAAAGAATGGGGAACGCAGATCACAACCCATGGGATGGAGGCATCAGGGACTGTTGTATCCTCTAGCATGCACATGTTCCTTATAAGAGCATGCAGAAATAAGTACTTTAGTTCTCAGCAACAAGGGGAAATACAGATATAACTGTTCACAGTGATGAAACAGTTTTGGAGACATGGCAGACAAGTGCAGCAAGGCTTTCAGTTCATGCTGAAACTTCTCAACTTCAGAGTTTTCGCACGGGGGACTGGGACCACAGTATATGTATGGTACAGTGTGAATTGCTGACACGAGGAGGGTGAGCGATGGACAACATACACAAAGACTCACAGACACACTGACAATGTCTTTGACTTCTGACTTCACAAATACCCAGATTCCGGCCTACAGGATCGTGAGGTGTTCGTTTCAGGGCATTCCCGTTTGAAGATTCAACATGACAGCTGCCCTGATAAACTGCCTGCTTGAGTTTGATCGGATACCACCTCTTAAAATCCATTAAAGCATGACATACTCAAACAGAAGCTATCAGGGCGCTATGTTGAATCCTGAGGATGTCCCAAAGAAAGCACTGTTCTGATAGATCCCCCTTATTCAGCAAGAGTGCAAGGAAATATGGAAGTAAGCTCAAAACCTGAGCTTTTCAGCAACAACAAACACAGTGCATTAATATGTTTTCCTTGAAATTCACACATCCTATCTATACCACATTCTGTAAACATAAAATACTAAAAAATTATTAAATAAACTCAGGATGATGAGGTAGATTCAGGTTTTGATTAAATTAAATGTCGATTAAAAACACATTTAGTCCTTGCATTCTTGCTGAACACGTTTCAGGGGATTTGAGTTTCCTCTACAGACATCACCATTTTCATAAGTCATATTAGACATGACCCTGGCAGGGCACCACCATCTAGTGGCAGTGTAATGCTATGACAATTAATACTGCTATTGCTAGTGGACTTTTCACCCAGTGCAGTGAGTTCAAAGAAAAGAAGAGAAAAAGAAAAAAAAAAAAGGGCCCTCGGACTGTCCAGATTGGAGCTACACGAGGCTGATGCGGTGACATTTAAATTCTGAAAGGAGCCGATGATCTCTGAAACCTCAGCCGTAGCCAGGCGAGGACCCAGAGTTTAGAAACGGGGCTGAGATCACAGAGAAGTGGGGCAAAAAGGGGGGGAGGCCAGATTGTTTTGATTGTGTTTTGGCAGCCGACACCAGTTAGGATTTGAAAAACTTCCCACAAGGACATTTTCTGCTCTCTGAAAGCAAGGCCGCACTCAAAACTTGGTTTGACAGAAAGCAGATCAATTTTAAATCTCAGTGATCCTTGATCATTTTCCTCCCTTTGCGTTAGCTCCTCTAAATCCATGATTAACGTATGACAACCCAGAATTTTATTACGTCCTCTCTGCGCTTTGTCGGAGCATGACACTGGGAGGAGGTTAATCACGGATAATGACAGAAGACTCGGAGCAGATTGGCTTTCAACTGCCAAGTACGGGTTTGGTTTGATGATCGAAATAGTGAGGAAAAATTGAGAGCCCGTCGGCCACATGTGATTAAGTCACACTCGATTTAATTGTCATTTTCAACTCATCTTAGCTTAAGCTAACTGGGCCATTGAGGAGGAGGAGAACTGGCGCTGGTGTGAGTTCGATATCTGCTGTTTTGGTTCTGGTCTGAGCACAGTGTAGAAATGAGAGGCAAGGAGAGGGATGCAGAAGCTACACTGGTACATGCAACATAGATACAGTATACTATTTGCTGAAGAGGAAAATAAAAACACTTGCACTGCACTCTGGGTAAATGAAACCCTTTTGTTTTTACTCACAATAAATCACTACCAGCGAGTAGTTAAAATAAAGTGGCGTTTTCCAATGGCAGCAGGGAAGGAAATACATCAAAAATGTGTCACTGGTCATAAAGAAACATGGGAAAACAACAAAAGAGAACAAAACATGATAGAACAGAACATAGTGTGGGACAGACTCCCATTGGAAGTGTCATCTTTCTAAAAGCTATTGTTGGAAACTACAGTAGTATGAATTTTTTTTTGTAAAACCACGTCCATCAGGGAAAACAGTAAACAGTTTATCTAAATGAAACCAGAGTGTGAAAGGCCTGGCAGAAGTAAGACAAATAAAAAAGTCAGATTCATTAACATGACAAAGACAAAAGAAGGAAATGATGGGTGTCTGTTTTAAAACCAGGTTTTGTCTCTACCAGGCTGCTTTACTGTAATTATCTGTGACCTTTAGTGGAAATATGGGGATATTCACCTGAATTATTTATCCAGCAGCTAAAATGTCCTGACAAGTGACTAGTGCACATAGGTCAGATTGTATTCACATGCTGTTCCTGCCTTAATGATAATGTCATGTCTGCATACAAATAGGGGAAAAAACTAGTGAGAGATTTTACTGGCCTGTGGTGAACAGACTTGATTATAACAATTAACAGTTTGTTTATGGACTGGAATATTGTAAATATGGATTTGTTTAACGGTGAGCTCATTACTTTCAATACTCTAAGATAATGTATTTATAAGTGATATAACAAAGTAGGTCATGTCTACTTATTCTTTAAATATGAGAAATAAAATCTTATTGCTACAAGCAGAGGAATGATAAATTGCACAAATCTCAAAATGAGCTTATACTGCAGGAGTTACTGTCTATGCATTTGGGTAAACAATGTTTATATTATTAAAATATCAATGGTATAATCAGATTTCCAACCTGTTGTATTGATTTTTTTCTTGTTCATCTGTTCAGCTGTCAACTCAAACAATCACCTTTATCCGTTGTGTCTTTCTCAATTAGTTTTAACACTTGAAAAATAACTTTAACTTACTTTTAGCATAAATAAATATATGAATCAATGGTTAAATCAATTAGAAAACACACCCATGATGACATTTTTTAGCAATAAAATAAAAATCAGATACAGACTTAGAATCATATCCTAATGAATGTTACGGGAATTCAAATGAGACCCATAGCAAACCCTTTCCTCTGAGGGTATAATGGTATGAAAACACAAGAGTAAAATAGCCTGTACCACAGTACAGAGGAACGATGAGAGGCAAAAGATCAGAGTACGGTTAAAAACCTCAAGTATAATGAGACGAACAGACCCACGGGTAGGTTTGGGAGGGGGAGGAGGGGAGGGAGAGGGGGTGTCAACAGGGGCAAAGTAAAGGCGCAGCTATACTCACGTCGTTTGCAGCCGCACTTCTTGATCCGCTTAGGGTCTGTGATGTCATCGTGACAAGCTTTGCAGTAGAAAAAAGCTCTAAAAAGCGACACGGTAAACAAATACAAATGTTTAGCACCTTAGATAATCAGCTGTAGAGTGGTTCATTGGGACGAGTGGATTCACCTCTTCACTTCTTTGGCGTCACTGGCGATAAAGAACCCCAGTGTTCCCTCCTGCATCTTGACGTGGTTTCCCGGGTTGATGAGGATGCTGGACAATTCAAGAGAAACAAGACAAATGGCGCTCATTAACGTCGGGACAACGCTTCGTCCACGCACACAACACACTAATCAAGAGGAATGGTACACACACACTTGTTGAGGCCTTCAATCGAGAGCTTGGTTTTCCCTGTGTTGTTTTGTAATTTTAGGCAATTTTGCCGATGTGGTGCTCACACGGATGGACAGAATGTACAGAACAGTATGATTGCACTGTGGATTTTAATTCTTTTCTTTACAGAGTGGCATCGGACTGGCCAGGGTGAGGGGTGGGGGGGGCAGAGAGTTAAGGGACGACGGCAGAAAATTATGGCCATGGAGAGGTTTTAGCCTCAGCACTCAAATACAGTCATCTAGAGTTAAAACAGATGTTATGACGGCCGCTGAGACACGGCTGCAGAACAGAGAATGTACAGTAAGTGTCATTATCTCGGTTAGTATCGCACAGTGGGATGCAAGGGAATGAACAGCTCGTTTTTCTTATTAACACTAAAGGCTGATTCTGCTCAATGACTCTTAATGTCTCTCAAAAATCAGCAGTGACTCTTCTCTGTTGAATTAAAGTGTGGAAATAATTGCAATGCATTTCCAGCAAGGTCAATAGTGACCTAAGACTTTATACTCTTGAACAACAGCATATGATATATTATATTATATTTTTTATTATGGGTGAGACCCAGTTTACTACCCCAAGCACTTTAAGCGACTGGCTGTATCATTCCCCATTAATTAGACTGACACAAAGAGTATACACCACACACATACTGTACACTCACACACACACACACACACACACCCTGGTCATTAATGGTTACCTGTGGGCAACAATCATCAATGATGTGAGTGTGAAATAAGAAACCAAGACACTGAACCCACAACTCTTTAAAGGTCACACTCCTTCAGAATAAGAGCCCAGGGGAAAGCTGATGGACATTTAATTCTTCTTTTTTGCATTTTCTCTGTTTTGTAACATAAAATTTGTTAATTTTTTGTGATAATAATACTTATTTTGTATTACTTACAATGTTGGGGGTTCCAGCTTGCTTTTAATCTTTGTATTATAAGTATCCATTTATTTCTTTTATTTATTAATTTATCGCGCCTATTCGTATTTATTAGGTAATTCTGAAATGGTGTGGTATCTGTGTAGTCTCAGGTCAGTAACTACATCTTTCCTCTGGGCCCTAAAAACAGGTTACACGGGAGAAAACAAATAAAAATATTAAGGGAGCAATTGAATCCATACACATTTAGGAGTTGTGATCAAATTGCACCAGTTATGCAGATTTGTCTTTCCACACTGCAAGAAGTAAAATAGCATGTAACATTCGCTCAGATTGAATAGCCCCCAGAGAAGTAAACAGGCAGTGAGCCTGGCATGCTCTTTAGTCAAAACAAATGAAAGAAATAGATCAAAACAGTTCCACAAACATTGCTGCCCAAATCTGAGATTTTACAGGTGAAACTATCCCAGACATTTCTCTTCAGTCGGGTGCAGACTGGTGAATCGGAGCTTTAAAAAAAAGCATCAAAACCTCATATTGTGAGCAACAAGGCAAGCATCACACAATGTATGTGATCGTGTCAGAGCATGCAGTTACCAAACAGCATGAAGAGGACGATAATCAAACAGAAATGCATAGCCACTGTAGTACAGGTATAGGGACAGGTACGTAGATGCAGACGGTTGCAGTAACTTCTGTGCAGTTGGATTGTTTCTTAAACACCAAACTGACAGGAAGTGACCTCACTTAGGAACATCTACTCAATAGACGCACAAGCATGACTGTACATGGTTGAGATGTACAAAAATGCACACAAACGCGCACATATTCGCACATTCACTCTCTCCCTGTCAAGGTAATCGTGCGCGCGCACACACACACACACACACGCACACACACACACACACACACACATACATGCACAGATGGAGATACATTGAGCAATGACAACATGAGAGGGTGGTGGAATGCAAAAGTGAAATGTGGGGCACTTGTGAACATTGTAGCCTACGGTTATTTAATTTCGCTTTGGATAAACTTAGCGCTATCCAAATTCAACAGCTCCATGTCTTTCCTAGTGTGTGAAGTGATGAAGAGAAAAACAAAGGTGTGTGAGGTGCTGCTGGTGTAATAAAACCAGGAGGGAAAAGACATGCTATCATATCAGCCACTGCCTAAAGCAATGGCAGAAAGTCAGTCAGTTTATTTCAGGATTAAATACAGACTGTAGAACAACAGAGTGTTTATTGACCCCATCTGAGGTATGAGGTGTGTGTGAGTATGTAAACTCCTCAATGATCCGGAGTCATAGAACCATGAAGGATGGTACAGGCGATGATTTCAAAACACCATGAGTGGAATAATTAGCTTGGCAAAGCTAAAGTACAGCAGGGTAAGAAAGAGAGCAACACTGGGGAAAAAAGAACTGAAAGTGAGAGAAATAAACTAAGCAGGGGACTGGTAAAAGGACAAAAACTGAAAAGATCCAAAGATCAAATAAGAGGTAGATATGGGGAGGGTGAGCGTTTGGCCTTGGTACACTGACAACAGCAAAGACAAAGAAACAGCACTTCTACAAACACGTCCAATTTATTCTATCCTCTCTCTGCCTGCAAAGAAGTTAGTGCATTAAGCACAAGGGACACCATAAAAGAGAGTTAGAAAAAAAGAGGCCTGTGTGAAAGTGTGTGGGAAAATATCCTTGGGGGGAAACTCCCAAAGTCAGAAGCTTTAAAGTGGTGGAGATTGGGTAGAACTTTGGAAGTAAGATAAGGTTGAGGGCATACCGCTTTCGGCTTCTGCAAACAACAAGAAGAAATCTCAAATCAAACAGTTATCATGAACACAGAGGAAGAGGAGAATAAAACGGTTAATAATGTTTTTCGGCCTATTTTGCCGGTTGGCCTCCATGTGGCTGTGTATGTAATGCTCGTCTAATGTTGAGCTCCTTGCACCTAAAAATGACTGCTGATAAAAACAAAAAGTCAAACGTCACTGAAAATTGTGGTAATACATAAAATAAAAAAGCTGTAGATATAAGGAAAATTATACCATCAAGTATAGTTTAAATTTCAATTTAACTAACTTAGATTTTTGTATCTTACACTAAAATGGAAAGGTTAAAGTCTAATGTAGAGGCAAGTGATGGCCATTTTGATACTTTCTACATTTTAAATCCATTTTTGTACATTTGACATTCTAAATGACCATCATTTGCTGTGTACTTTGGCATATATGAGTGGGGGAAGGCTAGTGGGGTTTGGCAGTTGAGATTAGTGAGAAAATAGCACTTCATGTTGCAGAGTTAGTAGAGTTAGTGGTTATCATATCCAGACTGCACAAGGACACAGTGGAATCAGGGAATCATGTGACAGGAAACTGAAATGTGCAGCAGATCGGTTACTTAGGCGTGACTGTGTCTCTGAACTAGAAAATAAGTTTTTGGATGTTGTGATGATCCAGTATAGTCGCCTATTACTTGTCTGAAACAAAAACTTACTTCCACTAAGGACGTACTAAAATGCAGATTACAGTTAAAACTAAAATTAAAATCCAAGACGACTGTGTGGGAGAGGTTTGTGCTTTCTATAGCATGCTGTGTGTGAGTGCACCAAATCAGTACAGTATCATTCAAGCTAATGTCATCAAATGTGATACAAATATCAGCTGTGATCAGAGCTGAAAAGAGGATTTGGGGAAAGAAAATATCAGAAATATTATTAAAAGAAAATAATCAGTAGTTTTCACTGTGGCCTCACATGTTGCAAGAAGAGGATACGACATACAAACCTGCTCTCTCTCTGCTCAGACTTGTATTCGATGGCAATGAGCAACAGCTTCAGCTTCACGTAACATAGTCTGAAAAACACGTGCAATCATTAGAACTCAGCAGATTATAGACGACTAATGTGTTTTGAAAATCCTGTGAAATCCACATCCTCACAGACCCTTTTACTTTACTTGGGCTACCTACCATTGACAGTGAGCTTGCTGAGTGGGTACAGAGTGATACTTACTCACAGACAGTGGGGAAGGAGAGGCCCACAAAGGCACTGGACAAATACTCTGTGTACATCTCATTAGCCACTCCTTCAAGGTAATACTTCTGCCATGTGTCCTCCTCGATCTGACAAAAAAAAAGTACAAGCACGGAAATGTCACAGATGAAGCTTAAAAAGAAAGGAAGAAAAAAAAGCCACAAAACAGTGTTTTCCTTCCAGCAGCAGTCCAATGTGGTCTGCAGATGTTCCCCCACACAACCTCAGCCTGGTCATTATAAACTGATCCATCATCTTTATGACATGAGAACAGTTCTTTGATAGAAGCAAGCACCTCTTCAATACTGAGCCACAGAAACACTGAACAGATTCCATATGAAATGTCACAGTAAAATATGATGTGCCAGGATGACGGAAAACACTCTAATGGAAGCCTTTCCTCTGGACAGAGATGTCAAGTCTTCCCAGGGAATGTGCTGCGTGTGTGTGTGTGTGTGTGATGGATCGGGTCCATCTGTCAGCAGAGAACTTACTGTATCAATTTATGTTAACCTCACCTTCAATCCCAGAATAAATCATCTCATTTACAAAAATGCAACGTGAGGATTCAATCATCTGCATTACATCAGTCTGTTCAGAGGGAGTGACCGCAGCGAGGCGAGTTAATCTCTCGTCCTCTGCGTTACCTCAATGAAGGACCTCATGGAGAACAGGTTGGCCAGCATCGTGGACAGGCCCTGAGCCAGACAGCTCTGGGCAATGAAGCCTGCCTTCAGCTCCGCCAGGCAGATAGCATCGTCACCCTCCTTCCAGTTCCAGCTCGGAATGTTCAGCAGATGGGCCTTCATCACATGATAAGGACAGAGGAGGTCACAAGACGCAGAAAACGTCTCCAGTGATTCACATTTCTTCAAGGGACAGTTCCTAATTATGTCTTTGCTTGTTTTTCTGTAAGTTAGCAGCATTACAAACAAACCACTGGGCAGATTACCATTAAACTTGGTGGAAGGATGAATAATGATTCAGGGAAGAGGCCATTAAATGTTAGTGCAGATCCTGGATTTTTATATTCACATTTTTTTACATTGCAAGATCGGGCTATTTTTGAAGATTTTTCAGAGAATCACTTGTGAATCTTGATGAAAAAATATTTTATATTTTGGGAGTTGGTGGTTTCATAATCTTATCTTTTTTTAGCCATGTACGGTAACAAATAGAAACCTGTAACTACCACCAATGTGTAGCTGAGAAATGTAATGTGGCTATATGTGTTGTACACTTCTACTGAGTGCAATTCTATTTACATCTTTAGCATTAAATGAACAGATTAAGACCTTTCTCATATCTATATAGTAAATATAAAGATTGTGCTAGCAGCAGTTAGCTCAGCACAAAGACTGGAAGCAGGAGTCTTCAATCTAGTTATTGAATCACTTAAAAAAATTTGGTTAATGTATGTCGATCCGTCACGAGTCAACAGAGTCTGTGATGGTGTGAGGGAGCGGACCTTTCAGAGATTATGTGTCATACATGTGATGTAATTAAAAACCCAACGATGAAACCATCTACTTCAATGCACAGAGCAGCTGTTACGCAGACAGGATTGTGGTTTATCTCCTGCCATAAACTTTCCTCCATTCGTGGGAGGACAGAGAACAGTCAGGATGCGGTGAAACAATATCTCACATGACACCAGAACATCTTACCTTGTTGTGATACTGGAGCATCTGCGTGATTATTCTGATCTTGGGATGGTAGTTCTTGATTGAAATGACCCTAGACGAAAAGCAGACAAACACATGGAACAGCGATTATGTAACATCATATCTGGTCAGTTTCCAGGACGTTCTCTGAGTCCAGACGATACAGTACCTCATGATGTTGGAGGCATCCTCTGCATCAGGATCTGCGCAGTATTTATTGGCTAGGATCAAACAGGCATCTGCTGACTCGATCTAGAAACAAACATGTTAACATTGTACTACATGTCATTTATTTATGTGCACATTAATGTGGTTTTATCAAACTGTGGGTTTCTCTCATAAAATCCAATAAATCAGTGGATCTAACACTGACCGGTATCAATAAACTTCCTCATAATATTGATCTTTTCTTTTCTTTATATTCATTTCTTTTAAGAAATACAAATAAAACTCAAACAGAGATGCAAATATCTCATCTCAGTCCCTCTTCACCACGGACTGTATATAAAGATGGAAGACATTGAGGGCCCGCTGGTGGCTGGCTGCATAAGCCTGCCTCCTCCATATTATTGGTTGGGACGTGTACTAAAAAGTCAAAGTACAAATGGAATACATTTTTCTCAAAGATGCTTTCAGTTATTATAGGTTATCGTACTGATGCTTATTCAAGTGTTTATCTAAAACGACATGATTGACAATTGAGACTCGCGATTGGTCAAAACCATGAACAATCCCCTGATCCCCTGCACAGACCAAAAGATGTCATAAAAGCAAGATGGCAGCGTTCCTATCCCGAATCTTTTGGCTTTGATTTGTGATCAGTCTTTGTATACAGTCTATGTTTTCTATGGTTTAAATCTATACTTAGTTTTAAGAACAGTTGTCTATAATGTTATTGTTTGTTTTAATTGACGGGTCCCGTCGTCGACTGTACCTTCACACGGGCCAGATCGTGAGGGTTGAGAACAGATCCCTGGTAGAACTCGACTTGGGTAAAATGTCGTTTGAACAAGGCTTCCAGCTCAAGATTAGGGGAAATACTAGCACACAGGGGAAGGAGCAGAGGAGTTAGTGCACAAATTGATACATCACGCACACAGGTCCACTGTGTTTCAAGCATTGTGCTCAGTGCTAACCTACACGTGGTGAGGAAAAGAAAGTTAACTTACTTATGGAGAAAAACAATTTCTACATTGACATCATCCCTGTCCTTGTGTAGGAAGTCTTTGAGGAAGTTGGAGACACTTTCGAGGGTAATATGACCACAGACCACAATGTGCCTGGAAGGGGGGAAGAAATCATCTTGAGTGGGCAGCATTAATCACTGCAGACACTGGCATGTCTCCCAAAGATAATCATTTAAACCCAAGCACTCTAACATCCACCTCAAATGTAGACTGAAAAAAAGAAATCTATATACATGTCAAGAAATGTTGTTTCAAAGCAAACGGGTAAGTGAATTATATCTTTTTTGCCATATAAGTGAATATTTTCCCCCATGTAATGAAAGTGGTTAAATTCTGCAAGACAAGTGCAATCAAACACTCAACTCTGAACCACTTTAGAAAATCTCAGATATAATCACACAGCCCACAGTGGTTGGACTGTCATCCGTTCTCAATATAAAAACTGGCCCTTCGGCCAAACCGCCCCTCTGTGAGCTGAATGGATGTTGACAAAGACATGTACATCAATATGCTTGCGCTTTTATACAGAACATTACTTGAAACTTTCAAAGTGATTCGGAGGCCTGTGGTTGACACAAATTCTAAACAGGACCTCAGAGTATTTGACAGTTCGCTGGCAGGATTCTTTGCAGTGGAGGGATCTGTGGACAGGGCTGATTACAACAGTACGGAAGCACGAGGTTAGATTAGAATACGTTTGTCCCTGTCTGTCCTCTGACTGCACTGTGAGACAGAACGAGCAGGTTCAAAGGTTACTTCGCATTTATATCTAATACGAGGCTCAATTTATTTATAAGACTGAGGCAGTTCGGTCACAGTCCAAAACGTATTAAAACTGTCTCAACATTAAAACTTGTGGTGCCTCTGACTAATACATATTAAGTTTTAATATCCCAGAGCTGAGAGAATTCACTTCAACTCAAGAAAGCTGATAAAATTATGCTGTCGGACTTTGGTTATCTTATTCCTTTAATATTTTAATGTAGAACTTTTATAAGGAGAATTTTTTTGAGGATTAGTTTTGCATTCTCTTGCAATACTTTTGAGTTATCTCATAATAGATTTGTGTTACCGCACTATATGTTTTGCGTTATCTCTCAACAGGTTCCCATCATGAATTTGGGTTGTTCACAATATTGCAAAGTAACATAAAAGAACTCTAAACTTATTGCAAGTGAAGGCAAAACAAATCCTAAAAAATTCTCGCCGTATTCCCTAGTGTTACGCTTTATTAAAGTAGTAGTATGACAAACATTTGGAAAAGAATACTAATAGCATTATAAGTATATGTATACAACCACAACATGGACATTTTATATCAGCATTTTAATGACACTAATCTATTAGATTTAAGACACTCTGGCGTGTATGCTTTGTTATCACTGTGGTAAGCTGAACTACCCCTCTGCAGTTAAATGTCACTAAGACTTATTGCCAAAGCTCTAAACGAGAAATCCAAACAGTAGAATCCAGGCCGTACATTGCCGAGGATTAGTGTGGACGCTGGGCACACACCCTAATTAGCCTATGGAGACCTGTAAGGCAATCTGTGTAATGACAATGGCCTCATCCACTACTTCCTAGGATATGCCAGGAGACAATTGAACCACTTCAGTTCTGAGTGCCTGGGCACTGGACAGCTTTGCACTATGGGTATTAAGTTACTCTCTTGAGATGAGAAAAAACATATACTGTGGTCATATTTGTTCAACGTTCGAGTTCTTATCATCGAACTAGATTTGTTTTGACAGGTTTCCCTCAACATATTATCATGCTGTTACATACAAGAAGGAATCTCTGGCTTACACATTAACCTACAACAGTCAACGTCTAACATTGTAAAGAGCTTTACTGAAATCTGACTCAGTCTGGCAGGTTTAAAGGAAACAGAGATATTTATGTCAGATGAAAACCATAGTCCAGATCACCGAGCGCTCTCCTATCCTGCACCAGATGGACCGGGTCTGGCTGAGCTGAAGTGGACTTGGCAGAGCACTGTGACATATTGAAGGAATGGCAGATTGTGGATGTTGTAGGACATAATGGTCTTCGCAGATGTCGCCTCGGTCCTTTAAGAGAAGCTAACGAGCAGCCGTGATTGCATGGTTGGCCCGAGTAGAGCGAAAAGGGGACCGGCCGTGTGGTCTTACAAGCTGATGAGCTGAGATGTCTGCGGGCAGCCGGCAGTGTTTGGCACAAGATGGCCCTCATTTCGAAAAACATCACTCATGTTTTCCTATTCTCTGTATCCAGATGCCCGTCACCAAGGGTGCAGATTTACGCAGACTATTATTCGGCTTGTGTGGGTTCAACATTCAGTTATGAATGTCAGGCGCGCACAAACCAAAGCACAAACTTAAATGTGTAAATTCATGTACACAGGTAAACACGTACATACACACTCCCACAGAAAAATGCATTTAACCCTGTTAATATGATTTAGCAGCAAAACTAAATTTTCTGCCTCATGTATTAAAAAGTATTTTTCCTTCCCCTGCACATACAGCTAATTTGAGCCCAAGACCGAAATATTGTGATATTATGCTTCACTTAAAAGTTGGCCTCCCTCCACAAAGGCTTCTGTGAGCCAACAGTAGCATCTAAATTAACACTTGGCTAGTTAAACTAGGATGTAAGACAAGGATATCACAGATAATTCAACCATTTCATCACAAACAAAACACTTCCCCTCTGGTGAACCTGATTGTTAAGTGCACTTTAAGCCATGTTACTACAGGAAAACAAAAAAATAGAGCACTTCAAGAGCTAAGATTTTTTTCAACACAAGAAAACCACACCCGACAACCTAAAAAAAAGAGATGCACACAATCACGTACAATGTAAAGGGGAATCACAGAGCGTGCACACAGAAACATGCAGTATAAAGGGAATGCACAAAACACAAAATGAACAAACAAAGAGCTCAAACATCAGCAACAGAGGTCACTGACTTCATACTGCTCTAATCCTTAGGTCAGTGTTGAAACGTGCGGTAATCAGCAAAGTGTTGCTATTTCCCATTTTATTTTCTCTGTCATGTTTTAGGCAACAGCATTAAGAGAAATGTCTTCTCCTCTAATCAATGTGGAGAATAAGTCAGGCCATGTGTAATGATTACAAACAAAGTCAAATTAAGTGTGCACTTATACTATATAGTGCACTTTACAGTGCCATAGCATAAAAACTCTTTTGGAAACTCACCCTGATGTACGTTTTCTCACTTCTACCATTATGTAAGAGAGGGTGTTTGTTTGTGCCCGCCAGTGTGGGAGTCTCTGGGTCTGCAGACCTCGAGCTGCGAGCCCTCACAGAGGACGTTCAAAGGTGCATGTCAGAGTTCAGCCAGGGTTGAGGCCAGTTTCCGTGCCAACCCCTCTGCTGAAGTCGGCACTAATGGAAACCATAGAGCCATAATGGAAACCACAGAGCCCAGAGTGCAGCGGGCGCCAACAGAATGCAACAGTTGTCATTATTATATCGGCGTACGCGCGGGCTGAGAGCTGTCACTGCACGCGCTCGCGGATGTACGCTACACTGCACAGAGGACTATAAGCAGCGCTAGCATCAAACAGAAATCCAGCATGGATCCAATGAGTCCCTCTCACTTCCAAATAACCTTCGAGGCCTGTTTCGAATGACAGAAGCCAGGCAGAGAGATCAAATGAGGGTTACATTTAAAACACTTCACAGTGCATCATGACCTCATTGTTTATGAGCTCTGTAATCAGTTGGATACTTGTAATCTCCTAATCTCATTTCCATGATAGACTTTTTTGTGTGTTGACAGCTGCTAAATGATAATGCACTGAACAAAACCCACATGACGAACCTGTTTTTTTCTCTGAGTCAGGTCCGATCCAAGTAAACACATACTTTTATATGTTTACATACATTTATCTAACTGATTATGCAAAGAGCCTGGTGCCACTCTGATCCCATGTGTTTGGTGGGTATCCTCTGATTGTTACGATATACTCGCAGTGTAGGTCTGACCAGAAAAAGAGATGGAAGGAGAAAATAAAGTGTGGGGGAGAAACTATCCTCAGTTTTGACAAGGGTTTCTCTCAACACCCATCTGCGAGTCTGGGCTGAGATCACTGGCCAAACATAACATTTCATCAATCTTATCCCAATGACAGGCAAACATTATCGAACAAAGGCTTTTTTCCAAATGCCCCGCTCTACTGCTGACTCCAGAGAATGTTGAAACCGATGATTGGAAAAGAAAAAGAGTGAGGAGGAGAAGACAGCATAGTAATAGATGGTGAGTGCCAGAGACAAAAAAGAAATGAGAAGAAAAGGGAAAAGAGGAAAAGAAAGAGTCGGCCCTCCCTGCTCTGGACACACCACATTTGGGTTTTAAAATAAATCTGTGTGCTGAGTATCAGTAAGGTTTGAGCCACGAGGGGAGGACAACAGTACTGCACAATAAGTACTGTGGTCATCTTAGTACAAACAGTACAGTGTCACACACACTTCACAGTGCACTGGAACCTCTGCTGTGAGAGGCCAATGACACACACATAATACATAAATCACAGGAGCCTCGAGAGACACACTCCACCACCACACAAGCATGAGGACCCAAGCAGGCAAAGCAAGCCAAACGCAATTGAGAGCCTCCAATGGGAGGGAGGCATCCAGCATTCAGGGTGTGGGAGCTGACTGAAGATCAGGGCCAGAGTCATGTCAGGCATTGATGATGCGACGGGGCGGGCGGTGACAGATGACAGGAAGGCGGCTTTTTCGTAAGGACAACGAAAAAGTGGCAAGACAGCGGGTCATAAGGAACATGCCAAAATGATGCAGCTAAGGAAAAGTAATATCATAAAACGTGCAAAAACAAACCCGAGCAAAACTAATCAAGAAAAGAAATTGTATCCTGCAATGCTCATTGAGATTGATGATACTTTAAAAGACCACCAATAATAATGCACTTGCAGATCTTTAAATCTATTTTCTTGTGGAAAAAAAATCCTAAAAGCGGATAGTAGGGGTTTCATGACTATTTTCTTTCATTTTGATGGATTATTATCCTAATCCAACCCTACAGGTAAAACTGTATTAATGGCAGAAAAGGGACAAGACACTGGGCACAGATATATTGCACAGGAGCACCACAGTTTAGTGTTCTGCAAGTCTAAAGTGTAGTAGTCATGAAAGCTCTATTGTCCAAATTAAAGCGCAACACAGGATGTTTCAAGGTGGACAAAGAAAGAAGATGAACAGCACACAAGGACAGAGAGAGACAGATGTAGAGAAAGGTAGAAGACAGAGAGAGACAGAGAGAGACGCAGTGAGAAAGAGATTACGGGGGCATGGACATGTGTGTCCTGATGGCCAAGGTCTCCAGTCACGCTGTGTGACTTGATGTTTTAATGTAACTGCTCTAAAAAAAAGTTAACTAACCCCCGGTATCTATAAAACTTCAGAGGGGGGGGCGCACTTGAGTCACACAACCACACCTTGTCTGGATTTCAACTTACTTTCTGCCTCGTGTCGAGTTATAACTCCCTCCGTATTTCTTCCGATTAAGGATGAGAGCAGCAATTTCTGGCACGTAGCGAGCAAACATGGCCTACATGCATGGAACAGAAAAAAGAAAAAGGCATGCAGAGAGGGTTCTACCGCACACAGAAAAACAGCAGAACCATCTGGAATACTTACTTTCTCCCATTAACCGCACTATAGGAACCACCATATTTCTTGCGGTTTCCTATTAACTCTATGATTTCAGGGACGTAGCTGGCAAACATGGCCTAAGGAGAAGATAGGAGACAGAAGAAGAGACTAAAAAAGAGACTACTACGCCACAGAGTGGATGGTGGGGAGAACTGGTGCATGAGTCCAAATTTCTGAGAGGGAGAAGATTATTAATCTGCTATTGAAATGAAAGAAAAACTCTCTCATTGTCTGTGGAGACTTGGTAAACTTCCCATGAATGAGAGAGACTTTCATATATAGCAAAATAGTTTTTATTTTTTTGCTGTTGAGAAAAAATAGCCCGAGTTTAGCAGCAGATTTAGTCGGTGGGCGAGAATTTTGTCACAGCTGATTCTCACTCAGTCTGCGATAGCACCCGGAACCTTTCTGGACCGCAGACGTTTGAAAGCTGAGGGAGAGTAAAAAAAACCTATGTGCCATGTTTTGTCCAACAAACACAGATGATGTGGCAGGTTGATTTGAATAGGCCCACCTGATGGTCCGCAGCTGCAAAACACATTAAGACTCATTTTTTTGTTTGGGCTGGAAAATGAGCTGGATGCATTTTGCAAAGTTTCACAGCCATTTCTCGCAGGACGGGGTCACGTTTAAGTTTACCGACTAACGACGGGGGCGCTCACTGACACTGCTCGTCTACGCTTACATCTCCAATAAAAAACAAAGACATGCCGCTGTAAATACGCAGTTAAATCATGCTTGCAGAGTTTACCTATACGTTTGCAGGGGGATAATGTGAAATGACGTGGGCTTGAAATGATTCCTGGCCTGGAAGTATCTGCAGCCTGGAGTCATTATTCAACCGCTGCTGTTGATAGGAAGCAGCTTGAGGTACGAGCCTAAAGACTTCCAGAGCTCTCAACACTGAGGAAAACACACAACCTATCACCATGGCCACGACACGGTGCACGTCCGCGCAGCTGCAGGTCATCAGTGCCGAGCGGTAATGGCCGAATGCAGTAACTGCGATTTGGCTGGATCCTCCATTTTTTTGTGAGAGAAGATGGAGGAGACAGGATATTTGGTGTATGAGTGTGTGCAGGTGTGTGTGAGTGCTCACAGGTGTGTGCGCCGCGCTCGTGTGCAAGTTAGTATGATAATGGAAGCCCGACGGGACGCGACAGATCTGAGGAAGTTGAGAGGGAGCGAGCGAGGGAGTGGGAGGCTGCTGTTGCTATGGTAACAGTCAGGCTGGCCTAAGCTTCATCTCCCTGCCCCTGTGTTTGTTGGAATTGTGGGAAGAGACACAGGAGGAAGGGTGTCCTGAAACCGCAACTGCTTTTAAGAGAACAGTAACAACATTATCAGACAGAAAAGCTTATACTCCAATCGAACGTATGCAGGGAATAGACATGAGGGGAGGGGACGAAGGAGCACATAGTACTGTGACTACAGTAGACAAGATACAGAAGGCTGAACAGAGGAATACAACTGTGACAAAAGAAATTACTGTTACAGGAAGTATATATTTAGTTATTTTATAACTACAACAAAGTTAAAATATTGTACAAAATACATGATAGTTTAAGTATTAAATGTAACTTTTCATTCACTTGTCAATATTTATCACTTTTGGGGACACAGGGGGACAGAGGGTGGGGTGTAGGAGGAGGGAAAAGGGGAGTTAGGGAGAAAGAAAAAAAGCTTGATTTTACCAAACCACCGAGGATGAAGAAGACCATGAACAGGCGCCCCAAGGTGGTTTTTGCATAGACGTCCCCGTAGCCCACCGTCGACATGGTCACCATCAGCAAGTAGACACATTCCCAATAGGAAAGTGACTGGGAATTTTGGAAGTTTTCCCAAGGATCCCCTGAGTTTTCCACCTGAAATTGAAATCGCAGAGGGAGAGAAAGATAATTAGATTTGACTCAGAACACTGATTTGTAAACAAAGTTTTTTTCAAAAAGAGAAACTAATTTGTCAAGTCTGATTAAATCCAGCTTCATGTGCTCATGCACAAATCTGAGTTTGAGCTGTATATTATATCATATATTGAGCGTATGCTACCATCTAGTGGTTGAAACAGTTTAAAGCTGGAGCAGAGCTACAAATACACAAGTTGTTTACTGAACGTACAGAAATCACATTTTAGTATAATGCCAATAATGGCAGTAAATGTGAAAGGTTCCTGGCCCGGGATTAATCTCTTTCTGTGAAAATACAAGTTATTTATTTACACTTGAAATGGAAAACTGGACTGTATTTCTATAGCACTTTGCACTGCAGGTCACATTAATCCACACACATATATTCATAAAGAACTCTGCATTGTGCTTCTCTAAAATACACAGACACACATACTGTTGGCACATCATTTGGTGTTCAGTATCTCACTGAACTTGGACTGCAGGAGCCGGATTGAACCACTGACCTTCCAATTAGTGGATGACCTGCTCTATATTAATGTTAGTCGCTGCCGACCTGCACAATATGGGTGACTGCTCAGCTGCTCATTTTGTGGTTTGCCCTCTGACTGTTGGTCATAATTTTTCCACTTTTTATTCATGACTTCATACTGGGGATGCACCGATCGGTGTCAGAAGTAAAACTAACCTTATCAAGCAGAACAAGCTTGGCTGTAACTAATCCACATTTTATCTTGTTCCTTTATTAATGTATTAATGGAATCCAGTGTTTCTACCACTATTTACATCCACTGAGTTAACAGTCTACTCAGTTTTAGTACCACACTATATTTATCATGTTATTTTGTATAAAAGTTGTTCCAATGAGTACCACAGAGTAAAGTGGACAGATTTTAAATTTGGAATAAACAGAGCACCTTTATCAGATCAGTAGCTACAGTCAAATACCATTAATTTAACTAGAATCATTATTAAAAGTTGGGATGGTGCATCCCTACGTGGAAGAGTGTGAAAAAATATCCTTTCACCCAATTGAATGAGAATAAAAGCACCAGGTGCCACAGTGTTACTGGACCCGTCAGTTTGTCAGTGACCTTTCTCTCCGGCTCATTAATCACTGGACCCCACTGGCCTCACATCTGTCCACTTACCAAATGTATGAATCCTGCAGCTGTGAGCCATGTGCTGATGAAGATGGAGCACAGGTTAACCAGCTTGATGGAATTGCTAGATGGAAGAAGAAGAAGAAGAACAATAGCAGTAGGATAAATTAGTCATGTAGTGAGAGGATGGTTGAGACGGGACTTGTATAATAGATTGTTGGCATATCAATCAGCAGAAAATGGAGAAAATACAATAACTACTGTAGAAATAATGAAAAGGATGATAAAAATCCAAAATACACACAGTTTGAATTCAACTTCCAATTAATTATCCGATAATGTGTTTTGCAGTAAATGCACTTGTACAGATATGCTATTATAGTATTATGTTTGCATATATAGTGTGACAATGTATAACCCATCATTTTTCTGATACTTAACATATGCTTATAATTTCCTGCAATGCCACGTGGGATACAGAACTTAAAATGAACTCTTAGACATTGTTACGCTGCTGCAGGTGCTTCAGATGGAGAGTGGATGTGTTTCCTGTGAACGAGGAGAGAGACTTATTCTCACCTTGTTTTCAAGATATTCAAAAACTGTAAGATTTCAGAGAACTGTATCAATCTCAGTGCCCTCAAGAATCTTAAACCTGGGAGAGAGATAAGACAGAGAGAGGGAGAGAAAATTAGAGATTAGCAAATGCATTTAAACAGAAAATGTAATGTTATCTCACGATATATTCATAATTATGTATCAGATTGTATCTGAGTTTACACTATGGTCCATATGTCTTTCTTCAGTGCTTGAGCATCACAGAGAATCATAGGATGCAAAATATAGTTTGTAAGACATAGGAGGATGATGCAAAAAAAAAATTTTACTTCTAATAATTAATGCGGAACATTGTGTGTCCTACTTTCCATAAATCCAAGAGCAGCTCGCCGAGGGATTATAGAACAATGTGACACCTGCCTCATTGTCTTACATAACACGACAGATCCCGATAGAAGGTGTGTGTGTGTGTGTGTGTGTGTGTGTGTGTGTGTTACTAAAAGTGATGTCAATCCCAACAGAAAAACTCTCCAGTCAGTGTAACACTTGCAATATAAGACAGCGGCCATATGCTTGTCACCAAATATGTTTCAAAACCAACCAGCTTGATCATCCAGGTCGCTCCTTATATTCTGAGCACATGTCCAGACACTTATACACTGTACGTTAACATGAATGCCCTTACCCCAGCTGGAGAGGATCAGTAAACAGGCCCAGACTGAATGGTAAAGTCCTGCCTGCCTTCCTTTCTCCTCGTGCCCATGATGGCCCTGCCTCACCCTGTACCCATTCTGAAAGAGATCGCCACAGGACTTCTTTCGCCGCCACGTCTCTTGAGGCGTCTCCACATGAGTGTCGCTGTGAGTGCGTCGGTACATGAGAAGTTTGGGAGGAATCATTTTTTCAGACTAAATGCAACACGAGCAATTCCCTTTCTCTGCAGGTCAAGATGGGGATTAAAAAATCTGCAATCCAACTGATTCAAGGCCTAGGATTCCAAAATCCCCTCTGGAAAAAGACGATTCCCAGTAAAAACAAGACCCCTCGATATCGTCCTCAAATCCACACCACCTTTAAATTAATTTGGCGTTCACTCCTTCAGACAGAAAAGAATTGTATCATTTGTCTCATCGGGTCATTCTCGCTAGGGCTTGTGTCTCTGTGTGAAAAATGTCAGCTCTAATAAAGGTGGGATTTTTTTCATTTTTGTTACACTGTCTTTAATCCCCACAACTCAAACAGATTTACCTTTCTCATTCCCCTTTTAGTGATTTACTGTTAACCCCTCTGAAGCTTCACATCGACACAGCTGTGTTGACGCTTTTTTCACCAAAAAATGGATTATCACAGATGAAAATGATGCAGAACAAAAAAACAATAATCCTGATTTAAAAATGAGTGTCCTGTTTCCACCGGGAAATCTCAAACAACTGTGTCTGACATGGAAAAACTTCTGGCAGATTAAGTTTCTACTGGTCAGACCTAAAGGTCATTGACTTCCAGTAATATCCTGTGACATTATTATATATAAACTAAGAAACAAGTCAGAAGTTTCTGTTATATCACCCGATTGGACGATTCCAACAAATGCACAACAAGTTGATCATAATAATATATTATTGCAGATGTGTGTGTCAGTATGTGGAGTCAAACTGTGAAATGGGTGGAGGGATGATTTTAGAGGTTCAATTAAACATACACAAAATATGAATCATGTTTATGTTTATCCATATTGTGTGTTCATGTTTCGCAACAAAAGGATTTTGAGAGGCAGCAATTTTTAAGGGTATTTCACAGATTTCGCTTCTCTAAGCTGTGTGCCTTTGTCAATTGATAAATATCTGCTAGAACATTGTGTACATTTTGTAAGACTGTGACTATAAATAGGAAATATACACAAAAATAGCAGTGATGGAACCACTGTGACCTGAATAATTCTCATCTAGCGTGAAGCATCTGTGTTTGTGCTCACTGTGTACATCTGTGTGTGAGTGTGTGTGTGTTTATGTGCACATTCAACACTTTCAGATCACATTAGGGAACTCGCTTCCCATCTGGGGTCAAAAATCTGGTCTCACGGCACTAAGATATGTACATGTTAATTGTCTACAGAGGATGTGAATGCAACAGAAGTCAGTACAGCATCCATGTGTGTGTGTGCGCATGTGTGTGTGTGTGTGTGTGTGTGCATGTTACAAAAGTCTCAATGAAATTCTGGTCCTCTGAGCACGTGTTCATGTATGAGGAAATCTCTTTCCCACACATTTTAAATCCTCTTGTGCTCACACACGCTCACACACACACACACACACACACACACACACACACACACACACACACACACAGGCACGTGTAAACAGCCAGATGCTCATTCAAAAAAGGTTTGTTTGTTCACGTGTCACATGTTCTGGCAGAGCAGCTGACTGGGACCTTCTATCAATCAGCAGTCTGGGCTGGTTCATCTGGGATAATACTGACAGTCAACTCAGCCAGGATTAGATTATACGACACTTCCCTGCATACACACTTATTGTACATGTATTAATTGTATACACATGTTAATGCATAGACTCAAAACAAATTTCTTTTTGCAAGACGGGGATATATAACTCAACTCATTGCCTGTACAATAAAGCAAACACGTAGGGCAATGCAACATGTGAGCTTGCCTGGCTGCAGCAAAGAGGCTTAAATTTCCCACAAATTTCCCTCTGCTGAAGGTACTCAGAGGCTTCCTGCCAGCGACTGAATGGCCATATAAGGCAGATGCACTCTTGCCCATGTCAGGTACCGTAAGCCTCTTTCAGCAGGAAAACACAAGGGATCAACTGCAGCATATGGGATCAAAATGCAACACGCTAAAGCACCACTAAGAGGCAGTAGTGAGTTAGAATCCTAGCCTGATGGCCACTGTATTGTATATCCTGAAAGCCAAGAGCACAATTTAAACACAATTTAAGGTCCAGAAAACAACTTGCATTACTCACATACAACTATCAAGATGTCATGATTATTG